TCTTTGGGGTTTTCTACGCGTGAAAAAGTGTTAGGGAGAGCCCAGTAATTTTCCTCGATCAACCCGCCTGTTCCGATAAGGATTTGGAATATGGTATGGGGATGTAAGGACGTATCGATATAGAAGTCAGGTACGGTAAGGTGGTCGGGTAGGTAGGTGCGAATTAGGTAGGTATGTATTAAGGTATGTGCAGCAATAACTAAATATGAATCTAATGGGAAGATAAGGAAAAAGAGACATACGTGAAATCCTTGTTCAAGGTGTACTCGTGCTTGAAGGTTCCCGCAGGATTTTCTGGCTGCTTCCTTGCCCTTGGTGGTTTGTGTTGAGCAGGTTCTGAGAGCTAAATAATATTTAAGGCATGCGCTAAAGAGAGAGAAGGGGTTGCGAGGGGTAAAGTCTATGCGACGGGGGATGGTGGGATAGGCAGGTGGATGACAGGTGAGGGCATACTTTTCCAGCTCCTCTGGCGGAGCATCCTTCTTGAGAGTAACCTGTCGCGCGCAAGGGGGCAAGGGTCAGCATTTTCTATGAGTTTCCATTGAGATGTTGGTGAGAAGGGAGTTTAGGGATGACCGACGTTGAAGAGCATTGTCGTTGCGAGTGGAGTAGTCTTGGTGGGTTATCAATTAGTATTAACGGTTGGTGGCAGCTTGTGGTAGAGGTAGTTTTGGGATACGACTTTGCGTTGAAGGAGGGATGGGGAAAAGAGAAAATAAATAAATAAATAAATAAAGTAAAAAGAAATCAAGGGTAAAGGAAGGGTGAGGGATAGGCGACTTAAATAGTCAGACAGGCTCCGGGAGTTGGAGGTTCGATATAGATTGGGGCAGGTCAGATAAGGTGTGGGGTCGAAGCTTAAGAACAAGGGCGGTTGATATTGGGCGGGAGTTGGCTGAATGACCGCATGTCTGCGTGAAGTTTAATTGATTCAGTCCGGACAGACAAACAAATATCAGCTATATCCATAACCCAGAGCCCAGAGATAGATAGAGACCGACAATGTATAAACTACTACCAGGTAATTACTTCCGTGAAGTACACCTCCCCCACTTGAATCTTTTTGATCTCCACGGTCGCCTGCCATGGTCCATGACAGTACGGCATTATTTATTTCTCTTCAGTGGCATACTAGAACAGATTGATATTGCATTATTGCGGCATTTTTGCAGCATTTGACACTGTTTGGGGGATGGCTTGGGGATTCCCCTGGGTTGTTCAAGTCAAGCCTACACTGCATCTATCCGTTCAAGTCTCTACCATCGCAGCAATAACTTGGCATCAGTCCGAGGATACTGGGCGAGTTGACCCGGAGGCAAACGGAAGGAGAGGAAATATATTGAATAGCAAGGTCCTTAAGGTAGTACGCACACTACATGTACTGTGCGATTTATCTACCCCGTATTTCTGATGTGTATAGTGTGCTTTTTAATAAGAGGACATAGCCTTTAGATATTGATATAGACCTGACACATTCAAAGCGCTGTCCAAAAATTATATTACTGTTGCTAGATGGTGGCACCGGGAGATTGTGGGAAGCTGTCATATAGATTTCTGCTGAATGAGTCCAAGTGCGTTCAAATTTAACGGATGTTCATAATTCATAACTACAGATATAACTTTTCTCTGAATATTCTGAAGAGGTTTTCAAGTTCACTTCTATTCTCACTCTTGATAAATTACCTGGTAACTTGGAGCCCCACTTCTCATATATAGTACTAGTATCCTGGCACTTATGAGTAGTTAGGATGGGAATTCCCATATTCCCCTCTCCTGCGATGCATTTTACTGAGTTGAGACAGACGCACGACTACACTACCATTTAGGGCCTGTTCGGTGACCCCGTCCAGGGCCGTATAAGTCCGTACAGTGCCAGATACGGACTTATAACCCTGTATAACTCACCAAGAGTGCCAAGCTGGCTTCAAAATCCACTTTATAGAGTTCAACGGTGTAATTAGTTGAAAAAGTGGTGAATTTAAACCTAATCAAGTTAAATCTGTACTGTATACGCTGGAACAAGTCGTGATTTGTGCTGACTCGATCCAGCGCTGGCCGGCTTGGAACCTGCAAATATCATCAAAAATCAAGGATCATGGCGAGCAACAGTGACAATGCAACTCAGGAGGCAATACGACAGTATCTATGTTGTAGACAACAATTAATCAGGCTTGCTGCTGCAGAAGTGATTCATCGGAGCATCTCAACTGTCTCATCTGGCATACAATCCATGTAATCTGCTGATCCATTTTGTGGATTTCAATTTACCACTCAGTTGTTGGATCCTACCTCCCACCCACTGCGAATTAAAGAATATGACACAGATGAGTGCCAGTACGTTCATTGCACTGGTTGATTGGCTGAGAAGTAATACCGATATTCGCGAATCTGAAGCAATACATGCCATAAAGATTGAGCAGAATGTTCTCATATTCTTGTATATTACAACACAGGGGGTGAGCTCCATTTTTCACTGATATTTGATGTGAGAAAGTAGTAATATAACGGGATTTTCAACTGCAACGTGTCTGCTGGAATCGCACGATATCATCATCAATAAAAACAGCCTCGTAAGTAATAAAAGTAATGCCAGACCGCCAAGCAGATTAATATTCATATAGGGAAAGGCGGCAAATAATGAAGGTTTACGCCGTCAAAAGGCAAAATATCCACTTTCTGTACGGCCCTGGCACTGTACGGACAAAATCACCGAACAGGCCCTTACTCCACGGTGTCCAGCAATACTAGTACTAGTAAACTAACTACTAGGTGGTTTGGCCTCCGCAATTCAATGGAACTCGCGCAATGGGGGTGGCAATACTGGTAGGATGATGTTTTTTGCCTATCAGTGAAGATATGGGCATTGCACTATTCGAGCTACCAGCTTGTGGCCACCCCACCCGGCCCCTACCATAACCATGGGAGAGCATGGCTGACGAGTCTATATCAAGTGGAAACGGTTCGGATCTAGCACATACGACCATAGGGAGTGGAAAACAGGGCTTCCCGTCCGCTCAGCCATACTTAAGCCGCTCGCCGGCCGGTTAGTAGTTGGGTGGGTGACCACCAGCGAATCCCGGCTGTTGTATGTTTTTGTTCCATTCGACATGGATTTCAACATGGATAAAATGTTTTTCTTTTTCTCTTCCTATCCTGCATAAGCGGGCACATGAGTTATCACAAAAAAGAAAGGGGAAAAATAAAAATAAAAAAAGGCCACAAAAAAAGTTCCAACCTAACTAATGATGGAATTAGATTTTTATGAGCTTCCCCTATACCCATATATATAAGCTTCTCGCATGTTGATCCGTTCGTGTTTAAAAATCCCTGAATGCTGGCAGTTTCCTGGAGCCAAGCTCTTTTCCCCAAAGAAAATCTGCAACTGTACAGTTTCTGACACTATTCATTCTTTTGTGTCGCCGATACCTCCTACTACTCTGGAAGTTTCCATAGAGACCAGAACCAGATGGCAAGTGCCCGACTTCTAGAACTGGAACGGCAGGTAGCGTTTTCTTTCATATTACCTGTTAGGATCTATAAGAATATGGCGGATGGATGGTTTCAAAGAAATCAAATATTTTTTCGTTGTTCTTTAGGGTTGCTAATTTGCTCGACATCTTTCCACGGAACTAGCCGCCATCTGGCTCAAGCGGATGACAAAAACTGAAATATAGCGATATAAAGAATGGACTGTCCCCTCGGTAGGCCTAGGAATTAACCCGAACCATTTCCCCCCACACCCATCATCTAGCAACGGCCTTGCGTGTAAGACGGGTAGTCTCCACTACCGTCACTATATCTGACTATATCTGATGTTGGACTCCATACCTATAGGTACACAATGCGTGGCCTACTGCCATCCTGAGCGGGGGCTGGGCCAAACTTTAAAACCTAGCCAGATCTGCGGGATGTGGAGGATGTAGTTAGATGTGGCGGTTTGAAGCTATATTCTTAACGACGGTTTGTCTCCAAGGGCCTTGGAATGTTTGTGAGAATAAATTGAACGAATAGGTACTACGGTTTTAGTTTGGATAATCAAGCTGCTCAAGGTTTTCCAAAGGGCTGTATCTGGTCCGTATTGTGCTTTTTGATGTAGACTACTGTGCACCTGTATATTAACATAGGTTTTGTCCGCCGGAGTCCCTCAGTACCCCTAAGCTAAAGATCTTCATTTCATCATGATCATCGAAAGGAAAATGATCGCGCACAGCTATTCTTTCAATTTCAGTGCTTGAGTGCTCCTGCAACCTGGACTTGATTGACTATACAATAGCCCTAACTTCATCATTTCTGTTCTCCACTTCAACTAGTTTGTGAGGAATAGCAATTCAAGCCACAGGAGCGATACATCATATTACATGAATAACATATCCTGCTGCATCCTGTCTAGTGGTGCACTGCCTTGAAGGCTTGAAGGAGTAAAAAACATTAACTAGCTAGTTACTTGGCGGGCAAATTGACCATCTTAGTAAGACGCTTCTTTCAACCAATCACAATATAGCCCGCTCGGATAAACTCTATCATTTTTTTTTTTGTCCAAAAACCAAATTTTTAGAAATCGCGGGAACAGCTCGGTTTTCAAGCCCTTCGTTTATCTTGAAAGAGCAAGGCAGGAGCTTGCTCTTGCTTTTTCTTTTTCAAGATGGAGGACCAGACAAACAGACCACATCGGAAATCGAAGGAGAAGAAGAAGAAAAATAGGGATCAAGCCGGTACCTTTTTTTTCACCCCCGTGATATTTTGACGTTTGCTTGCGACTTTTGCGGAGCTTTGATCTAACCTTTTATTTTGTCGAACAGGCGCAAATCCCAAGGCATTTGCTGTAGCGCATGCCGGTCGTCTGCAAAAGCAAGCCGCCAGGTCTCATGATGTTCGTTTTCCCGAATCCTTTCCTGGTACTTCTTTCCAACTAACGGCACCGTCGTCAACATAGATCAAAGAAAAGAGACTTCATGTCCCTCTTGTGGATCGCTTGCCCGAAGAGGCGCCTCCGATTGTTGTTACGGTGGTTGGGCCTCCAGGGGTATGTACCTGTGGCTCTTGAAATGGACTGGATTTCACTTGCGATTAGGATGCTAATGTCCCAACCACCGATTTCGCTTCTTTCTACATTAGGTTGGCAAAACAACCCTTATCAAATCCCTCATTAAGCGTTACTCGAAACAGACGTTAAGCACTCCCGCTGGGCCTCTCACTGTCGTAACCTCGAAACGAAGGCGCTTAACATTTCTCGAATGCCCCTCCGACTCCCTCGCGAGCATGATCGATGTCGCCAAGATCGCGGATATTGTTCTACTTATGATTGATGGCAATTATGGGTTTGAAATGGAGACTATGGAATTTCTCAATGCGCTGTCTTCAAGCGGTATGCCGGGAAACGTCTTCGGGATCCTCACCCATCTCGATCTCTTCAAGAAACAGAGCACTCTACGACAAGCGAAGAAACGGTTAAAACATCGATTCTGGAGCGAATTATACCAGGGGGCGAAGTTGTTCTACCTGTCCGGCGTTATCAATGGGAGGTACCCGGATCGAGAGATACACAATCTGTCACGATTTCTGTCTGTCATGAAAAACCCTCGACCGCTTATATGGAGAAACTCCCATCCTTATTGCTTGGCTGATCGATTCCTGGACATCACACCCCCGACGGCTATTGAAGAGAATCCTAAATGTGATAGGACAGTTGCTCTATACGGATATCTTCGAGGCACAAATTTTCCTGCAATTGGCGCCAGGGTGCATGTGCCTGGTGTTGGCGATCTCAGCGTTTCGTCGATAGAGGCACTCCCTGACCCGTGTCCGACACCTTTCATGGACCAAGCAATGGCAAAGGCAACTGGAAAATCAGGCCGAAGAAGGCTGGGGGAGAAACAAAAACTCCTGTTTGCTCCCATGTCTGATGTTGGCGGCGTCCTCGTTGATAAAGATGCGGTTTACATCGATGTTAAAACTACTACTTTCGACAGGGACGCGGACAGCGATGAAGAGAGGGGCCTGGGAGAGCAACTTGTTGTTGGATTGCAAGGTGAACGAAAGTTACTAGGACAGGCAGAGTCGGGAGTCAGGCTGTTCACGGATGGAGAGGCAGTTGCTGATGTAGGTGATGGTGAAACGGGGGAAGTTGGGCGAAAGCAGAAAAGAAAGGTCCGATTCACAGTCGATCACGAAAATGGGGCAAACGTTCTGGAGGATGAAGACGAAGGCTTTGAGTCAGATGATTCCGCGAAGGGAAGTGAAGACGGAGAAGGAGAGGCTGGAGAGGATGTGGATGTGACGCCACCAGCAGATTTTGAGACAAATTTTAGAGAGGGACAAAATGGTGCGGCTCAACGTGACGAGGATGACATCGCCTTTGCAGACAGTGATTCTGATCTTGGATCAATATCCTCGGCGGAGGGCCAGGAACTGGAAAGCGAAGGAGATTTCGAGTACGATTCAGACGAGGTTGATGATGGAACCTTACGCTGGAAGGAAAACCTGGCTGCGAATGCCAAGGCGGCTTTTGGAAAAAGAATTCCTTATCGTGTTGCTGACCTCACAAGGATGCTCTATGACGAGTCAATAGCCCCTCGGGATGTTGTAAAGCGATGGACTGGGAACGATGCTGATGAATCTGGTGAAGGCAATGATGGTGCCAACGAAGAAGACGACTTTTTTAAGAAAACTCGCGTGGAAACAGGGGAAACAGAAGATAGGACTATTCCAGTGTATGACTATAAGCAGCTTGAGCAAAAATGGGAAAACGATGATAATATCCAAACTATCCGGCGTCGGTTTGCCCGTGCTAAAGTTTCCAAGGGTGACGAATGCACGTGATGAGGATGGTGGCAACAGGGCGACAGAGATGGGAAT